GTTTTTTGCAATTACAAAAAAATCTACGAAAAGAGAAATATTGGAAGCAGTGTTCAGCGAAATTACTTATTTTCTATTCAATCGGAGCTGAAAATTGTCATCCAAAACTATCCAACGGAAATATTCGTAAATTCAGCGAGATATAATGCGATTTTGTGTTTCGTTTTTACTGCATTTGTGGTTGTGAATATTGTTGTGTCTTGATTGACCAATACACACAATCTCAGTTTCAAATTGTGAATACGTATTGAGAAAAATACACGTAAAATTTTGTGATGATATTCCTTGCATTCTGCTTTTCGATAAAAAAAAAAACAATGTTCATCGAACAAAAATATCACAAAAAATACAGTTTCTGCTTATGTAAGCTATCTCGTTTTCATATATTGTTTACTTTTTAACATCGACTGTAAATAACACGGTTCATTATGTTGTCAATACGCCACTAAGTTCAACATTTCGCCGCTATTTATCTGATGTCAGTTCGGCTTGCATAAAACGAAAAACTGAGATGTAACACACATAAACACACAAACATATAACCTGAGAGTTTGCCGAATTTGTTTTTATTTGCGTGTTTGAGTGTAGCAAATGACCGGCAGGCAGCCATTGTATCGTTTTATCAAACACATTGTGAACATTTCGTTGAATCAAACAATTTTGAGATTACGATCAAATCGTGTATAAGCAAGTGAATTGCATATACGAATTATTTCGTGTTTTTGCTATAAAAGTAAAAATGGCCAGCAAAAAGAGAAAAGACACGCAGTTCCCGGAATTAGACGAATTGGAAACGACGTATGAAATTACGCAAGGCTCTTCGACAAAGCGGTCCAAAAATTTTAGTCTTGCTGAATCTACAGTTTTGATAAAAATCTGTGACAAATTTCACACTGTAATCACGAAAAACAGCAATCGCGACAAAGACAAACAAGCAAAGGCGAAAGCATGGGGTAAAATCTGTGCAGTGTTTAACAAATATTGCAAGGACAACAAGTTGATTGTAAGTTAAATTTTGGTTGTAATTATATATGTACAGTTCGTGATAAATATATTTCGCCTTTCAAATAAAAACTTATAAATTGGATCTATATTGGTATAGGTTGAAGACAGAACGATTGATCAATTACAAACAAAGTACAAAGCACTGAAAAAGGACGCCCGAAAAGTGGGAGCTAAAGTTAAAAGAGACTTCTCTAAAACAGGCAATAAGCCGTTGAAAACAAGTACCATAAACTTATTGGAAGGAAATAATCCACTTTTGCAGCTACGTGCTCGAATGGGCGCATCAGGAAGTGGTTTTGCCAGTAAACATTGTAAGAAAACAAGCTAATTTGAAAAAATATTTCAATAGTGTTTCATTTTCAGATAAATTTTCAAAAATATTTTAATTTCTTAAAAGGTTCTGATGCCCTCCCAGATGATTCAACACAGGACCATGAAAATGAAGCAATTGAAAGTGCACACACCGCGCAGCCGTTCGTTCGACTCAATCGAATAGGTACATTTATTTATTTTAATTCTTCTCTTGTAATTTATAATTCAACTGAAATTCATCCACTTTGATCGGTAGAAACTGTTACCAGTGGATCAATGGCGAAAAAACGCAAAATCGACGAAACTTCAGAGAACGTTGAACCAATAGAAGGTCAGACAGCGGAAAATTATACACCGCGACCGGTTCGAGAACGAAGAAAAACCCAATTTCATGGCACCAATGGTAATAAATTCATTTTTAATTTTTTTTCTCTTTTGTTGATTAATTGAATTGTATATTTTAGTGGATTCACAGAGTATTACTTTGAGCGGCACGGACGAAGAGTATACTGATGATATGGGCGAACTATATCATGACATGTCAAGTCCAAGTGAAACCCCAAACTTGGGTAGTGGCGGCAAACATTTGTCAATGCAAGAGGCGATTGACCAACTGATGAATATCAACGAAATACAAACATTACCACAATCAACATCAATTGACTCTCTGATTGATATCGACAAGTTTTTGGATGCAACGATGCTCATCGACGAAGAAAGTTCCACTGAACTTAATATTGATGTACAACAGGCCCTGGATGAAAGAGCAGAAATCGGAAAGCTAACTGGACCACCAGATGAAGTCAGACGTCGGTATAAGCGTGTGTCAGACTCTAACTTGACTTCAAAATTGCGGCAAAAACAGCTTGAATTGGTGGAACAGCAACTTGAAGTTCAAAAAGTGTTGCATGAGAATGCAATAATCGCCAACGAAGAAGCTAAAGAACGCTTACAAATGGTTAAGGCACAACGTGAAATCGCTGAAATCGACAAACAGTTGAAATTGAAAGAATTGAATTTAGGCGATGAATAAAATGTCAATTGTATTCTTGTTCATGAAGAGTCCAATTAAATACTAATCGCCATTTTGATAAAACATTATTTTTTTTTAGTTTTTAGTTCAAAAATCACAACATTTGTACGAATAGTGAACTGATGCATTCAACATCGGATTGTATGGTACTGGAACCTAATAGTGTTCAGGCCTTCTCAAAATATGTATCGCTTTATCTGAAATAAAAACTATTCGATTTTATCGCTCAAAAGGTGAAAAAATGTGTTTATGACTATATTTCTGCTGCTACATGGCAACCTTAAATGAAATTCTTATATTATTCTTGCATATTGAAATTTCAGGGGTTCAAAATGAATGTAAAAAGAGTGTATTAGGTTTTTTGGCACGGCAAAACCGAAGCTGATGTTTATTTCTCGATAAAATTAGAGATTTTTCAATTTTTTTATGAAAAGTACAACAAAAATAGATTATTTCGCAAAATTAATGCCAGATTCGGTTTTCTCGTGCCAAAAAACCCCCCAATACACATTTTTTCATTCATTTATGTTGGATTTCTAACTGAGGGTTAAAGTTGACCCGAGGGTTAAGTTAACCCGAGGTTTAAATATTTAACCCCAGGGTTAAATATTTAACCCAAGGGTTAAGGAGTTAACCCTAGGAACATAATTTGACCGTAAGAAGCACATTCTTGGGATAATCACATAAAAAACTTGAATTCTTT